GAGGTAAGCAGGATATCAAAGGGCAGCTCGAGAAGACAAAGTGTTATAACGGAATGTGCAAAGAACTGGACTGGGAGAATAATAAAACTAAAGCCTCGGCATTTCAGTTGAAAGAACTGGAAAAAAAAACAACAACCACAACCTCAAGCCTTTTGCAGTACGGAGAAAGATGCTCTAGGGAAAAGCTTGAATGGTCCAGGAAGCATCAAAAGAAGATGGAATATACAGAGTCACTATACCGAAAAGAATTGGCCAACACTGAGATAATCCAGGAAGTAGATACGATAAAGAGCCAGTGGGGATGGAAGAAGTTAAAGCTGCACTGAAAGCATTGGTAAAAACAAAAGCCCCCAGAAATCAATGGGTGACCAATTAACATGTTTCAGCAAACAGATGCTGGACATGCTCACCAGTCAGTGCCAGGAACTTTGGAAGACAGCTACTTGGCCAACTAACCGGTAGAGATCTGTATTCCCATTCCTAAGAAAGGTGATCCAACAGAATGTAGAAATTGTTAATGTCACATGCAAGCAAAATACTGCTAAAGATCATCCCAAAATGGCTAAAACAGTATTTTGACAGAGAACTGCCAGAATTTCAAGCTAGCTTTAGAAGAGGCTGTGGCGCCAGGAATATCATTGCTGATGTCAGATGGATCCTTGCTGAAAGAGAATACCAGGAGAATGTCTACCTTGTGTTTTCATGACTTTTTTTTTTTATCTTGGTGTGTACTGTCAAGTCAGATCTGACTGGCACAGGATTGCCCCTCCTCCAGCAGATCATCTGGTGGATTCGAACCATGTGTCTTGAGGATTGCAGTGCAGCTCCTTGTGTCTATTTGAGTTTTATTGACTATGTAAAGGCATTTGTGCATCGTAACAACCTATGGCTACCATTGAGAAGAATGGGAATCCTAGAACACTTAAGTAAACTCATATATAATCTATACCTACACTAAGAAGCTGTTCGAACAGAACAAGAGAACGCTTCGTGATTTAAAATCAAGAAAAGTGTGCATCAGGGCTGTATCCTTTCTTCATACCTATTCAGTCTGTATACTGAGCAAATCATTTGAGAAGCTGGGCTTTATGAAGAAGAATGTAGAATTGGGAGAAGACTCATCAACAACCTGCATTATGCAGCTGACACAGTCTTGCTTCCTGAAAACAAAGGTTTTGAGGCACTTGCTGCAGAAGAAAAAGAACTACAGTCTTCCATATGTTCAATATAGATTACATCTCAACATCAAGAAAACAATCTTTCCCACTGGGCCAATAAGCAACATCATAATAGATGGAGAAGAGATTGAAATTGTCAACAGTTTTCTTTTACTTTGATCCACAATTGACACCTATGGTACCAGCAGTCAGGAGATGCATAGCATTGGAAAAGTCTGCTGTCGGGGACCTTTCCAAAGTCCTGCAGGGCGGTCATCTCAGTTTAAAAACTAAGGTGCACCCCATGCAAGCTGTAGTCTTCTCAGTCACCTGCTACGCATCCGAGAGCTGGAAAATGAACAGGGTGACAGAAGAATTGATGCCTTTGAGCCATGGTGTTGGAGAAGAGCACTGACTATTCCCTGGACTGCCAGAAGTACTAACAGCTGTGTTGAGAAAATGCAGCCAGAGTGCTCCTCAGAGGCAAGGATGGCGAAGCTTCGCCTCACTATGGGCATGTTGTTAGAAGAGATTGTTCCTTGGAAAGGGATATCATGCTTGGCAAGGTGGAGGGTTAGTGGAAGAGAGGAAGACTCGGCAGTAATGAGCTCAGATGTCTGAGATGATGAGGATGGAGCAGGATAGAGTTCACAGCTGAAGTTCATGGGGTCCCTGAGTCGTACTTGACGCAACTGTGAGAAAATAAATGTGTTTGTTAAAGGCTACCCCTTTCTGTTTCTAGCATAGCAGCTCTAGATAACACGGGAGGCAGGCCAGGGCAGGAATTTCACCTGTTGTTTATAGAATCACCATGAATATAGTTCACTGGACAGCACGTGAAAACAATTACGGATTGAAGAATCCTTTTTGCATACCATTTAGTGGTATTCTTTACAACTCTTGGAGTTGTATAACTATTCTTTACCTTTTCTGAATTGCTCCTCCCCCATTAAAATCAATGCACTGCCCATGAGGTGAATTATGCAATCCTTTGAATTGCTGATGTTGCTCTGATGTGTTAGAAGAACATCAGTGCCTAGTTAAGTTAAACTGTTGTTTGGCTCTAGGACATCCGTGTGTATTGGTTTAAGTTTTAAAGGTAGGGATTTTTAAGTCTCTTTTCTTTTTCTTTTTTCATTTTTGCTGTTGTGTTGATTCAAATTCATAGCAACACCCTACGTGTGGAATAGGGCAGCTCCTTAAGGTCATTGGTGCTGTTACATCTCAGAAGCACATTGCCAGGCCTCTCTTTACAGGCACCTTTGGAGTTGTTGGGGCTGCCAACCTTTCAGCTTCAGTGTTTGACCATTTGCCCAACCCACCAGGGACTGCCCAAATGCCTGATCTGTACCAGGCACTCTGAGTTTTGTCACGTGTTAATGCATATGTACCATCACCCCACGGGCATGAGTTCCCCGAGTTAGAAGTGTACACCACCCACATGCCAGGCACTTGCAGCGCTAGAGTCCAGGGTGAAGTAGTGAGCTCAGTGTCTTTCCCTCTTCCCAGTGCATCCTGAGCGTGTACACTGACAAGATCATAAGCAGTGACCGCGATCTCTTGGCAGTGGTGTTCTACGGGACCGAGAAAGGGAAGAACTCCGTGAATTTCAAAAATATCTACGTCTTACAGGAATTGGACAATCCTGGTCAGTAATATTCGAAAAGCAGCTTTTCTTTCTTGCGAGCAGCGGTGTGGCTTACGCTTTCCCGCAGAATGGAGTGCCTCCTGGGACAGTGGGTGTTTTCTCTGTGGCTTAGACAGCCCTGGGGTGAGAAGGGGACCTGGGAGTCTTCTGATGAAGGCAGCATTGACCTGATTTTTCTGTTTGACCCTATTTCTAATCAGGTGCCAAGCGAGTGCTAGAGCTTGACCAGTTTAAGGGGCAGCAGGGAAAGAAGCATTTCCAAGACTTAATTGGCCACGGGTCTGACTATTCGCTGAGTGAGGCGCTGTGGGTCTGCGCGAACCTCTTCAGTGACGTCCAGTTCAAGATGAGCCACAAGAGGGTCATGCTGTTCACCAATGAAGACGACCCGCACGGCAGTGACAGCGCCAAGGCCAGCCGGGCCCGGACCAAAGCCGCCGACCTCCGGGACACAGGTGGGCCTGCTCCCTGTTCTTTGAAGTTGGCGCTTTGTTTGACTGCTGCTTTATAGCTGAGCGTTTGCTTTTCTCCATGCAGAGTAAAATGAAGAAATAAAGGGAAGCCAGGGGAGACGTCGGGTGGCAGTGGCACCGAGAATGGCTGTGCTGTTCGCTGCCAGGGGCTCTACCGCAGCTCACTTAGCTTTAATTCTCCCCTGAATACGGCTTATTTGAATAGTTCAAGTCAGTAGAACGTTTGATTTCCTTAACTACGTTTTCTGAGTCCTGAAATTATTCATAATCTATCTAGTTCTCTGAGAATTTTCCCAAAGGCATAGTTAAGCTTAACAGAAAAAGCAAAATTTTCTCACTAACTGAAAATCAATCTTTATTTTTTGGAGACAGTTTTTATTCAGATTCTTCGTGTGGGTTTTTGTTGTTGTTGTTGTTGTTTTGTGAAAGTCAGTGGTAAGGAGTTGTACTGCCAACCCAAAGGCACATGGTTCTATTCCATGAGCTGCTAGCAGGAGAGAGATGGGCAGTCTCCCTTGTGATTTGCAGCCTCTGGAAACCCGCTGGAGGGTCAGCTGTGAGTCAGTTCCAACTTGATGGAAGAAAGCAACTACGAATGTGTACAGGGAACGAGACACCGTTTCCCCAGCTTCTCCACGTGCGGTTCTGTGCCGTGGCGTTCTTCATGGTGTGGTCCCCTTCCTACGGCTGCTCCACCACCACTGTCTTTTCCTCACTGCTCCCTGACTTCCTGCCTTGGCTTGTGAGTGGCTGTTCTCACTTTGGTCCGACCCAGGCAGTTCTTGAAAAGACTCAGTGCTCGAAGCAGAAACACTTTTCTCTTGAAGACAGGAGGACTGACTCTCCCTGCACCTTTGTCTCTCCTTGCGTTAGGTATCTTCCTGGATTTGATGCACCTGAAGAAGCCGGGGGGCTTTGACATAGCCCTGTTCTACAGAGATATCATCAGCGTGGCCGAGGACGAGGACATAGGGGTTCACTTCGAGGAATCAGGCAAGCTGCAAGACCTCTTGAGGAAGGTTCGAGCCAAGGAGACCAGGAAGCGCACGCTCAGCAGGTACGCTCTGAGCCTGGGTTAACGCCCACGAGGCCTTGGTCAAGTCACGAGCAACATGCTTGGGCTCGGCTCGCTGCCGACTTGACTTGGGGCTCTGCTCCGGCTTCCAGTGTTCTCAAAACACTTGTTTTACTTCAGGGTGATGTCAGCTATTTGCTGCTATTTCTCTAACATAGTCTGTGTATCATTGAACAGTTATAATCTAGCAATCTCCTCAGTTGTACACATATGTCTTCCTTGTAAATGAAAATATTTCATTCTAAAGAGATTAAATGAAAAGCATGTTTACAGCAGAGCCTGGAATGTAGCAAAATTCAATAAATATTAGTTCTCATTACATCTGTTGTTAAAATTATAAACTGAACATTAACAGGAGGCAGTTTGTTAGATGATGATGTTCTTTTAAAGAAGCCTGCTGCTGGAATCCCAAGTATTCCTCAGTCGACTCATTGGCATCAAATCAGAACCAACCTAGAGCAGACCCTCCGCGGAATTTCTGACACTGTGAATTGCACAGGGGAGAGTGCCCATCTTTCTCCTGCAGAACTGCTGGTGAATTGGAACCCCAGAAAGGTGTGGCCTTTGGGTTAGAGCAGTAGGTTTTCATTTTACACTGGTGTCTTCAAGGTAAGGCTCCTGACCATGGGTTATTTTTGAGCTATTTTTAGTTTACCACCACTTTTAGAAAATTCTTAAAATGAGTTCAAGGACTCCATGGTCCCACTCATTCCTTTACTTGTCATTTTGTAACTGTATTCCTTTTCTCCCTAGGAACTCTTTCTCTGCTCAACCATACACTCTGTCACTTTTTCACTCCTCCTGAAATGATGGGCTTCTGGCTTCTGTACTGTTTGAAAGTCTGCCATGCACTTGGGTGGGACTGGTGGGGAGGAGAAAATAATGATTCGGTGTAGGCTCTGGAGCCGACTGCTGAGATTCTAGTCCTGGTCTCTATACTCTGTGGCTTGGAGGCAAGTCATGAGCTTCTCTGAGCCTCATTAAGTGGAGCAAGAGTGTTCCTCCTTGTACCAAACTGATTGCCACTGGCACACATAGCAACCCTATGGGACAAGTACATATGCCCTGGAGCTTTTCCACTGGTAGCATCTTCTAATCTTGAAACATTTCAGGTGACCTTAACTTGCTAATATGAAGCAACTGGCTTTGCACCATGAGTTTTCCACAATTTCCTTCCCAAGGCTGACATAAACTATGTGATGTTTTACTGTAACTTTGTCATAGCCTGGAGTTACAACTTGTTCAAGGTTAAAAGATCGTTTATAAATGTGAAAATGAAAGATGGACCGAAAGGAGTAATGGGTGTGCTGTTTTGGGTTAGAAATAGAACTAAGGTCACTGGAAGCCTGAGGTCACAGTGGACATTACCTGGCATTTTATCCCAGGACACTAACATTTGTTGTTGTTGTTGTTGTGTACTGTCGAGTCAGAACTGACCCGTATCTGACCCTGCGGCAGGTTTCCAGAGGCAGTAACCTCACAGGAGGAGATTGCCCATCTTTCTTCTTTGGGATTGCAGCGCTCCTTCTGGCCACTAGGCGACCAGAGTTCCCTTGCCAACATTTAGAGGATGCAAAATATTTTTAATTGTTTTTAAAGATTGTACCATTTTAAATTAGCTCTGGTGGCCTAGTGGCAAGAAGCTGTGTTGCAATCCCGAAGGCATGTGGTTCAAGGCCACCAGCTGCTCATCAGAAGCATGGGCAATAATCTCCTCCCGTGCGATTAACTGGGTCTGAAAACTCGCTGGAGGGTCAGCTGTGCGTCGGTTCCTACTCGACGATACACAACAAGAGCAACCATTTTAAAACTAGTTTTATTTATTGCCGGCGCTCAGTAGCCTTCAGGCAAGAGTAGAAATCCTAGTAGTTAGAATAATTAAAGTGAAAACCTCTGACTATTGGTATTGTTAGTAATTCCCATCAGATGTTGTTGTGTGCTATAAAGTCAGAGCTGACCTATAGCTGACCCTCCAGTGGGTTTTCAGAGGCAGCTAATCGCACAGGAGGAGATGCCCCTTCTTCTCCGTGGAGCAGCTGCTGACCTCGAACTGCGTGCCTTTGGGATTGCAGCGCAGCTTCTCTGCTCTAGGCCACCAGAAATTCTCCTTCCTTCTACCAAGGTGTGTTGGGGTTTTCTGTCCTTGGACATAGAAGAATTGGAGGCAAAGAAACATGGGCTTGGAGATATCTAGGGCCGCCTTGCTCCTTGCAGACTCAAGCTCACCTGTCTAATTCTTTGGGGAAGAAAATTCTTGTGATGTTTCTTTGACCTACAGGTGATTCTGGATATTTTATTTAAACTTCAAATATGTAGGGCTCCCTCAGATTTCTCTCTGTTGTGGATTGCTAGCTTCCCTTGTGGTCAAGGAACACACATGTATGGTTTTGGTCTTTTTAGCTAGAGACTTGTCTCTGGTTGTGGAGTCTTGTGTAGTGTCCAGCATGTGGTCTCTGCCGGAGAATGCTCGGTGCGTACCCGGATCGTATAGCATGGACAGTGTTTGCATTCTTCCTTCTGATCCCCCCCCCGCCCCCAATGATGTCAGTCTTTTTGCATATTGTTATTTTAAAGCATTTTCTAGAGGTTCTGCTTGTTGTTTAAGGCTTCACTATAAGCATCCTGAAAGCAGTTGGGTTTCTTTATTAAAAGAAGAGCAGAGGGAAGTCAGACAAGGAGAAACAACAGATGATTCATACAATACAGGAATTTTTTGAACCCTAGCGTTCCTGGGAAAACTTTCCAAACTCACTGCTGTCCAGTCGGTTCCACCTTGTTTTTGTTTGGTACCGTCAAGTCAGAACTGACTCATAGGTGGCCCTTCAGGGGGTTTTCAGAGACAGTAAATCACATGGCAGGAGATTGTCCATTCATCCTCAAGCAGCTGGTGCATTAAAATATAGTGCCTTTCCCAGAGGCGAACCGTTTGAATCCACCAGATGCTCTGCCGGGGAAGGAGGGACAATCTCCTCCTGTACCAGTCAGATCTGATTTGACGGTACACGCACACAAAAATAATAAAATAAAATTAAAAAAATATAGTGCCTTTGAGATGCAGCACAGCTTCTTACCACTAAGCCACCAGCGGCTGCAGATCTTTACCCAAAACTCAGCTCATCACTGTCGAGTCGGAACCAAGTAAAGCTGATCCTGCAGTGGATTTCCAGAAGCTGTAATCTTATGGGAGGACATTGCCCGTCTTTCCCCCTTGGAGCAGATGGTGGATTTGAACTGCTTACCTCTGGGATGCCAGTGCAACTCTTTTTCTTTTTTTTTTTTGTGAGTGTACCGTCAATTCGGATCTGACTGGTACAGGAGGAGATTGTCCCTCCTTCCCCGGCAGAGCACCTGGTGGATTCAAACCGTGCGCTTCTGAGATTGTAGTTGCAGCTCCTTACCACTAGGCCATCAGAGCTCCTCTGGCAGTGCAACTCTTTACCCACTAAATCACTAGGAAGACTGAGTTTGTCAGAACATGAAGTTTTTTGGTTAGACACATACCACCTTACAGACGGCACCGGCGGAACTGCTTAGGAAACCTTTAGCAAACCACAGTGGGGTAAAGCCAAGAAGCCGTTATCATTCAATTATCTGAGAATATTTTTGAATTTTCATAAACATGAAGCCTTGGTGGCTTGTGTAGTTCCCAGGGAAGGAGCGTGGGGATGACCCCCCGCTGTTCTGGTTGTCCCTGCCTCTTCAGTGCCTCCCTGCAAAATAAACACTGAACATCAGTTTCTGTTTCCCTGGGTGTTTTTTTGTTTGTTTGTTTTTGTGTTTTTTTTGTGTGTGTGTTTTGTTTTGTTTTTTTGTGTGAGAAAAATTTGTATTTAGAATTAGCCTGCTGGTCTCAGTTTAGATGATCCCAATTTTGTTGGCAACATCCAAAGCATCATAGTCAGGAGCAAGCCAAACATAGGCCTTCTTCTCTCCATCAGGCCTAATCAAAGTGTTGACCTTGGCCACATCAATGTCATAGAGCTTCTTTACAGCTTGTTTAATTTGGTGCTTATTGGCCTTGACATCCACAATGAACACAAGTGTGTTGTTATCTTCTGTCTTCTTCATGGCTAACTCAGTGGTCAGGGGAAATTTGATGATGGCATAGTGGTCAAGCTTGTTTCTCCTGGGGGTGCTCTTTCAGGGGTATTTGGGCTACCGTGGGAGTCTCAGCGTCTTAGGCCGCAGGAAGGTGGGTGATGTGCGGATCTTCTTTTTTTGGCTGTGGATGCCCTTCAGGATGCCTTCTTGGCTTTTAATGTCTTTGCTTTGGTTTCCTTCTTTGCTTTCGGTGCCATCTTCGTAGAAAACTGTTTCCCTGTTTTTCATTAAAAGTGGAAGTCCTCTTGGAGGGTCTTTGAGGTCGTGAAAACAAGTACTGAGGTAGTTGTTTTGTAAAAAGGGAAATGATGTAAAGCTTTTGAAAAGTGGGGAATACCTGTACTTACAGGGTTACTATGATGAATGAGAAACTAGCTGTAAAGTGATTGATGCGGTGCTGAGCGCATTGCCAGTGCTCTGTAAAATCTCTATTTGTTATAGTTCCTCATTTTAAGAAACTCATATATTCTGAAATGAATTCTTGTGTCATATACCTCGATTTGGTACAATTGCGAACTCTACTGTGTATGTTCTAAGCACTTGTTTAGGATTCTTGGAGAGAATAAAATCCTTAAGGCTTGGGTGACAGGCAGTGATTGTAGTAGACAGGAGGTACTTTTTTTCAGTCCATGCTCTTTGATTTTTCCCTCTTCCAGGTTGAAGTTTAAGCTCAGCAAAGACATAGCTCTCACTGTCGGCATTTACAATCTGGTCCAGAAGGCGTTCAAGCCTCCCCCCGTGAGGCTTTACCGGGAAACAAACGAGCCAGTGAAGACCAAGACCCGGACATTTAACGTCAACGACGGCAGTCTGCTTCTGCCCAGCGACACCAAGAGGTCCCAGGTAGGTATGCATTCTGCCCAAATTGTCCCATTCACACATTAATGCCGAGTGATTCCATCGGCTTTACCAGACAAATAACTTGCTTGTGTGCATCTTTCTAGCCCAACTGTGGAAACAGTCAGTTGTCTTTGAAACTATGACATCTAGACCAATTATTTATCTTTTCCCATATGTTTTTATTTTCTACCGGTTTATCTGTGAAGTTATATTGTGACACCTACATTTTACTATTTTTTTAAAATAGTATTTTATCATTAGGGGTTTTTGTTGTGTGTGGTTTTTTTTTTAATGAATTAAATTTTTATTTGAGTAAAGGTTTACAAATTTTATTGATTTTTTTATATGCATAACTTATAGACTTTTTTTTCATTACATTCATTGCACTAATTAATTCATTACAAGGTATAATCAACCCCCTATTAAGTACTGCTTTTCCCTTTAGTGTAACTGGTCTGTTTTAAATTTTATTCCTGTCTCTCCCTGACTGTCCCTGTTAATCCCCCAAAATGTATTCTATCAATTTAAAAGTCTTTTGTTAACACCTTATACAACAACTGCGTGTTTGCTACTAACTTAGTTACTCAGCTTAATTTGTTGTAAAATCATCCATATTGTTCACGATTTCATAAATACTTGGTTGGTTTTTAATGATGCATAATAATTCATTTTTTAAATATGAAGAATCTTAGCAGTGATATTTTTAAATACTCACTTGAATTATTATTAGGTTTTTAGTGACGTTTACATAGCACTTTACATTTCCGTTAACAATTTATACACAAGTTGGTGGTGATGTTGATTACATACTTGACAAAGTGAGCATTCTCATTTTCATTCTGGTTCTTCTGTTTCCATTAATCTGTTTTTCCTGCCCCTTATATTCTTTGTTTTAAAGTCATTGGCGACTGGTCTTATATAGGAGATTTTGAAAGGCACATAATACTTAGCATCTGTAAGTATCTGATTTTCAGTATTTTTTGAGCTCATCTGTTTAGCTACAACATGCCCTCTGGGATTATTTTTTTCCTTCAAAGTCTCAGCCAAGTCAGTAGGTCTGTTTTTGTTTTGTTTGTTTATTTGGGAAGTTAAGGTTTAGTTGCACATTTTTCTCCCATTCTGTCAGGGTCCATTTATTGCTGTCTCTGATCGTGATAAACATGGGTGTGCATATATCTGCTTGGATGTCAATTATGGTCTCCTTGGGGTATATTCCCCGTAGTGGAATTTCTGGGTCAAATGGTATCTCTATTTGCAACTTTTTATTTTATTATTTTTGTGTGCGTGTACAGTCAAATCAGATCTGACTGGTACAGGAGGAGATTGTCCCTCCTTCCCCTGCAGAGCATCTGGTGGATTTGAACAGTTCGCCTCTGGGATTGTAGTTGCAGCTCCTTGCCACTAGGCCACCAGCGCTCCCTATTTGCAACTTTTTGAGAAAGCGCCATACCGCCTTCCACAGTGGTTGCACCATTTTACACTCCCACCAACAGTGAATAAGGGTTCCAGTTTCTCCACAACCTCGCCAGCATTTGTTGCTTGCTGTTCTGTTAAATTTTGCTATTCTGACTGGGGTGAGATGATATCTCATAGTTACTTTGAGATTTGAACATCTTAAAAAAAAGCCCTGGTGGGATCGCTTCTCGGCCTTTTGGCTAAGATCAAGTGTAAAAAAAGCCCTGGTGGTGCTGTAGTTTGGAACTTGACTGTGGTCATCAGTTCAACCCACCATCTGTTCTGTGGATGGAAGATGAGCCATGTGCCCCCATAAAGATTACAGCCTCAGAAGCCCCGTGGGGGACACTGTGAGTTGGAATCAACTCAGTGGAAGTTGGTTTAGATTTTAGTTTTCAGCGTTTTTTGCCAAGGATGGTGCTGGGGCCTGTTCTGTAAGAAAAGGCCTAAACAGAGATCACGCCCTGGGGCAGCTGACAGGTCTGGGCTGAGGACCAGTTCAGTTAGGGGGCCCGGAGCCAGTTCTCAACCAGTGAGCTTCAGTTCCCTTTTCAGTAAAACAGAGTTTTGTTTTGACATGTTTCTTCTTTTTATTGATTTGCTTACAATCCTTCATATACATTGTGTTTTATACAATCATTCACATGTACTGTATTTTATGTAACTCTATTGATCTATTCCTGTTATCCCCTCTTCCCTTTAAGTCCTCAAGGAATGTTTCCTGTTCCTTCACCTCACTTCTGCCCACTAACCTCTCCTGTCCTGGTGATTCCCCGCTTCCTCGTATGTCCCCCTGCCCCCCATCCTCTTCTTCACATTTATACGCCTCTCGCTCCGTTACCTTCCTGCTTTCACACTGGAGACCTTGTGCAGTACTTGTCCTCACATGAAGCATTTTGAGGTCTGCCTGATAGATTGTTACTCAGAGTAGATCAGGGGACGGGGCCTGTGCCTGGGAAGGGCTCAGTCAGCGTCCGTTCCCTGTTGTAGGATGAGTCCTCTAGTGAGTCACCTCCTGACTTCTTGGAAGAGCTCCAAGTCTTCCTTGTGATGTCGCGTGGCAGACACTTGGCTCTCTGTGTAGCCCCTCCATGAGCTCCCTGTTTCCCCCTTTAGAGCTGTGAGAAGTCTCTGGATGGCACAAAAAAATAAGCACTGAGCTGCTGGCCAACAGGTTGGCATCTCAAGTTCACCAGCATTGCCTCGGAAGAAAGGCCTGGTGACCGGTTTCCCCAGAACCAGCTGTTGAAAATCCTCGACAGCGTGTTGGGGGTTTTATTAATGAATTTGCTCTGAGTGAATCTGCACAGAGCATACTGGGTTTTCATTCAGCCCCTCGTAATAGAGCACATTTCTACCCTGACATACGTGGCGTCACAGTGAAGGGCACTGTTTTTATTTTACTGAAGATCTATGGGGGTCGTCAGATCGTGCTGGAGAAAGAGGAAACAGAACAGCTGAAACGGTTCGAGGAGCCAGGCCTGGTTCTCATTGGTTTCAAGCCGTCGGTCCTGCTGAAGAAGCACCATTTCCTGAGGCCCTCCCTGTTTGTGTACCCCGAGGAGTCCATGGTGAACGGTGAGTGTCCCGGACTGGCTTCACGTGAGTGCCGCTGACCCACGATGCCATTCGGGGAGTAGCGTCTCCCGGACAGGTGTCACTTGGAACTGGTTACAGGAACAGCACCTCAGCGGGGCTGAGCATTGAGGCTTTGGGGACTTTGTGCAAGTTACTGGCACAAGGTCTTGGGCCCCCTCCCTTGATGGGCTCTGGAAATGTTTAATGCTCAGATAGATTTTGGGAAAATTCCCTCATCAAAATTAAAGCAAGATTTCATTAGGACCTATCATTTGTGCATATCCAGGAAGGTATATGGAATTTAGGATTTATTTTCAGATTTCTTGCCCATGGAATGATTTCCTTGATGCATCAGATAGAACCACATGTGCGCTCACACTGACTCCTCACCCCACCAGCTTCTCCCCTCGTGTTGACATTTAAAGCTGGTGTGAATCTGCCTTTGTGTGGTGTGTGCTGTCCACAGCTCTTCTCTGTGCTCCAGCGAATGAGCACCTTGGACCTGCCCTGGTTGGCTAGCATGCGCTCCTGACATTATTAGCCTAACGTCAGTCCAGAATGAACGGACACTAATAGTTCCCACCTCTGCACGGAGTGGTAGAGGCGTCCAAGCTTCGTCATTCCTCTCCTTTTCCCTCAGTTCTGGGTCCATCACCCCTTACTTATTGCAAGCTCTCTTAAGAAAACGGGAAAGAAGCTTCAGGCGGATAGCGTGGGTTAAGAAAGGAGCCAGCGTCTCAGCGTGGACACTGCTGGGCCTTTGTTTTCCAGGAAGCACAACCCTTTTTAGCGCTCTGCTCACCAAATGCCTGGAGAAGGAGGTCATGGCAGTGTGCAGATACACGTCCCGCCAGAACAGCCCCCCTTGTTTTGTGGCACTGGTGCCACAGGAAGAGGACTTGGACGATCAGAAAATTCAGGTGACGCCCCCAGGTATGTGGAAGAGAGATTTTCAGGGTTTCTGACCCTTGGCCAACCTTTGGCGTCACTCCTGGGAACCAAGACCTCTGGTGTGGGGCTTGGGAGAGTAGGTGCTTCTGAGGAGGCACTGCCAGGTAAGGCTGTCGGATATGGTTGTGCAGTCCCTCACGTGCAGAGCTGTCTAAGGCAGCACGCAGCCAGTGCTGAGCATTAAGTTCTTGGAACTTTTATAAAGTTATTGTCACAAGTTCTTGGGCCTCCTTACTGCTGACACCTTCTCTACCATAAGCCCTTGTTTGGCATCCTTGTGTTGTTTAATGTGTGATTGATTTATATCCTGTGACCTCCAAGGCAGCAGGGAGAGCTGGGTGGTGAGGCCGGACTTGACCTTGTCTTACACTGTGCGGCTTTCTTTCATTTCAGGGTTCTCTCTGCCACTTACTCTCTTCTCAACTTGTGGGAGTCATTATATCTTTTGCTTAGATCTTGGACTGCAAAAATGGGAATACTAGGATAACTTTCAAAATTATTTTAAATTTGAAATAAATTAATAGATTTACAAGTGCCTCACACAAACTTGTCAACTGCTGGGCGTTTCCCTTCTTTTTCAGCCATGCTAGTAATTCTTTTACTAGCATTTACAGGAAGAGTAACTGAACACATTTCCAGCTGTGGGCATCAGTATACTGCGAGTAGGTTTGTCAGCCAGTGGTGTCCCAGCTCCAGATGCCCGCTGCAGTGGTCTGTGGTGTTGGGGCTGGGACTCTGCAAGTTCAGTTTTTACTTTGCTCACTGGCTTTCTGTTGGGCTTTGTCCATAACGGCCACTAGAGGGAGCCTCTAGAGCAGAGGAGAGATGGGGACCTCTCCCTTGCTGGTTGCTGTCCACTTCTCCAGTGTGTATCAGAAAAGCTGTGGACTGGAACACCCGACCATGACTGGGTGAAGGGTCCATGCTGGAGCAATGCCGTCGTGCACAGTCAGCAGACAGACGGAAGGATGGCATCTCTCTCCCCATTTGCCTTCCAGTTCTTCTGAAGATTTCATAGGGGTTCTGTTGGGCAGAAGCTGATAGGCAGCAGGGAAGGGAAAAGTGGAGGTTACAGGGACCC